AAAAAAAAAAAAAAAAAAAAAAAAAAAATTTTTGGGGGGGGGGGGGGGGGGGGGTTATTTTGAAATGAAAGGGCTGTGATGAAAAATTTGAAATCTATGCTAGTGTGAACTGTTACAAGAAAGGATGTTTGATGTTCTCATGATGAGGGAGGGTTATAAACGAAAAGGTCAAAGGGCACCGTGGCTTTCAGCGTCAGATTATAACGGATCAGTTTTCCTCAGATGGAGATTATAAAATCAGCACATGGTTTATCTCTGTTCCCACTTCCCACAGTCTCTATGCATAAAGAACCCAGATTAGTCTTAGTTTTGCCCTCATTCATATTTGTCTTTATTAATAGTTAATTCAGATGTTTGTCTAGATAAAGGTTGCATTTCTGCCTCAGCTCTTGTATGGAGAATTAAAAGACTTTAAAAGGCCAGAGACACCAGAATCCCAGTGTGTTTTTCACTTTTGTTAAGGAAAACAGAAAAACAGTAGAGGAGGACATAAAGACGACAGAGGAGAAGCACAGAATAACTGACAAGCACAGACACATTACCTGTAAGTATCTATTAATAATTTAAAGTTAAAAGTATGTCTCATTAGAAATTAATAACAACAATAAAGCTTGTGACTTGGATTAACAAACCAAAGTCACAAACCATTCACAAAAAACAACTGCAAGGCCTTGAAAACGTTTTCCTGCTTGTGGAACTTTTAAATTTTTGTCCCATTAGAGTCACAAACTTTAGCCTCCAGGACCAGCTAATCTGTATTTATAGTAAATTAAGAGAATGAAATTAAGAGTCATCTACTACGGGTAAAAAATACCAAGGCATTTTATGGCCCTTCAGCTCAGCGTTGCTTTGTTAACGATGGCGATGATGAAATTGTGAAATTAATGGCTCTTCTTTCATGACGATACAGAGAAAATGATGAAAAAAAAAAGGCTCCTTAAAGACTAAAACATGATGGGAAATTCAGATGTCCTCAAGTCGCCCACATGAAAAAAATGTCAAGCTGATAATTCTGTATGGGGATCTGAAATATGCTGCTTTTATTTTAAAACAAACAAACAAACAAAAAAAACACTTTTATTCTATAGGTAAGGTCTTTTGTCTGTTATGCAAGTAGCTCTTTGTGATCCTCCAGTAGTGCATTGTGCCTTTGGAAGCAGGCTCTGCACTAATAAACAGAGAGAAACGTGAGTTACTCTAAAAAAAAAAAAAAGAAAAAGAAAAGGAAAGAGATGTACAGAATGTCAACTAAATATGCAATGAAACACACACAAGTTATTTTTGATAATTGTTTTAGTAAAACATAACTATGCAGCCTGGTCTGATGTTGCCAGTAGAAGACATACATGAATAAATACTTTGAAAAAAAAAAAAAGAGTTGCTGGTTTGGCAACAGTTGTTGTGAATTTTGCGATATTTTAGGAAAAATAGCAGACCATGCCAGATTTGTAATCTTTATAAAGACCAGTCAAAAATAAAAATAAGAACTCTGACCTATCATTTCCTAATTCTTTTTTTTAAAGACAGATCTTTCATTGTTGTCTCCAGAATACTACCATGACATTAACTCAATCAGAGATGTGATATGGCACCGTTTTTCCAGAATTAAATGTGAAGTTATAAGAAGTAAGTGTAGCATGCAGCTTGTCAGAAAAAGTGAAAAAATAGCAAAGCTTTCTTCATTTAATTATCTTAATAAAACAGAGAGAGATTGAATATGGAGTTTTATATGTTGCCTGACCTAACAATAATCATTACTTTCTAACGGAAACATGCATATCAATCCTCTCATTCAACTTTTGGCAGGAAAGCAAAACCAGAACACAAAATTTTCCAGCATGTCAACGGATTATTTTTTTTAAATCAAGTTTTTATTTAATGCTGAGGGTGTAGGTCAGACTGAAGATAAAGGCCAAGAAAAGGCAAAGCATGGAGAATAAACAAGCAGAGCAGGACAGAGCCAGAGTTTTAAGCTCAGACAAACAGCACATTTAAAAAGAAGCATGAGGGAATTGATGACATAAAGGAGAAATGGGAGGATTCTGGTACTTTTCTTAGAAGCTGTTAAAGCAGAGCTCTAACATTGGCTTTTTTATTTTTATTTTGTCACATTACAACAGCAAACTTCAAAGGATTTTACCTTTATTTTACGTGACAGATCACCACAAAAAGAAGTGTACTATTGTGAAGGAACGCATCGGGTTTTTCAAGAAGGTCAGGGAAGCTGGTAGTCGGTAGAAAGACGAATCCTGGAACAGCCACCTTATATGAGCCACAATGGAACGACTTGGACCAAAGCATGTTCATATTTTCAAATGGCCCAGTTAAAGTACCAACCTAAACCAAATTGGAGAATCTAAAAACTTCTGTTGACATGATCTCAGTCCAATCTGACTGAATCTGACCTATTTTGAAAGGAACAATTAGAAAAAAAAAAAATTTAAACTCTGGATATGCACAGCTGGTAGATTCCTGAAGTTGAAATAGGACAAAATTTTAAAAACTTTAAGGAGTAAGAGTGCCTTTTGGAGCGCACTGTTTTATCACATGATGGGTACTTGTAAATCTATATTATGATGATCATAATGTCAATAGTTATTTAGGTATGTGTATATAAAGAGAATTGATATATATTCATATATTTATTTGGTGTGAGGGGAAGATGACCAACAAAATGAAACAGTGAATGAATGACTGTAATACATGTGCATCAACCATGAAAACATTGACTTCAACAACAAAACATGTTTGATTTTCTCATGTATGTTGAATAAAACTGTGATACATTCATCTGCTTAGTAGATTTAGTAACTTCAGCTATTAATTAAATTGGTTATGCTGTAGTATTTAGTTTTGTCTTTAAATGTTTACTATTCTATCTCCTTGTACCAACAGCAGAAGAGTTAGTACATTTAAAATGGTCCACATAAGGCATAAAGCAAAGATGGTTATTTAACTCTCTATTTCTGAACTCGGAGGCCATAATACATAAAATAATGATAGAATATAATAACGGCAGTTTATTTTTAAGCTTGTATTTCTTTCTGATTATCATTAGGGCATAAAAGACAGTTTTAAAAAAAGCAGGTGAACAAATATACCGTTTCTGAAAAGTTTATATCAACTCTGTACAGGCATACATTTTCGGTCCTTTCTACTACAACAAATGAATAATCACAGTGTACAAACAGTGAGAAAATTCTACACATGCATAAATTAAGCATGGCAAAAATATATATACCTGCACTGAAAGACAACTTCCTTATCAAGGCATTTTGTCGAATTTTTTTGCTTGAAAAAGCTTTATTTTCTTCTAATGAAGGAAAATTCTTATATACAAGCAAAATTAATTCATATTTGATTTAATGTGAGTCATATTTCCAAAAGGAAATGTTTCCATGCTTTGCAATAACTGTAGTTTTCAAAAAGAAAAAAAAAAAACCCTTAGAAAACGAGGTTAAAACTCCTTGTTAAGATTGTAGTTTCTTTACAGTGTAGGCAGGCATTATCAGATGAACAGTAACAAAGACAAAACGTACAAAAAAAAAAAGCTGAAGCAATGCAATCAATACATCAATCATGGCCAAGTTCTTCAGTCACGGTGTGACTTGTGTTAAATTATTTAGGTCTCAAATCACTGTTTTGTATTCCACATAAAAGTGAGCATCTCCTTCTTTTGAGAAGGCTACTCAAGTCACACAAAATCACACCATAGCAAGTTTTTATTCTTAAAGATTTTTCTTTTTTATTTGTTTGACTTACTTTCTGCCTCTGGTCGAGTTATAACTCCCTCCATATTTCTTCCGATTAAGGATGAGAGCAGCAATTTCTGGCACGTAGCGAGCAAACATGGCCTACATGCATGAAAAAGAAAAAGAAAAGGGCATGCAGAGAAGGCTCTACCACGGCGGAGGCAGTAGAGCCTCCTTGAATACTTACTTTCTCCCATTAACAGCACTATAGGAACCACCATATTTCTTGCGGTTTCCTATTAACTCTATGATTTCAGGGACGTAGCTTGCAAACATGGCCTAAGGAGAGGATAGAAGACAGAAGAAGAAACTAAAAACGACAAGCATAGAAGAGGAGGTCCTATTTTCTCTGCAAGATGATAAATTTGAAATAGAAACGCAGCCACGTAAGCAGAGATATTACTACTATCTGTTAACAGGTAAGAAGATTCTCTTTAGGGGAAATGTAAGCTGAATGTAACTTGAAGTCATTTCACAATTACATTCCAATTGTTTAAAAAGTATGAAGATGAAAAAGGACACTAAAAGGTTCATATTTACAGATACCGGAAGAATAAACGTGAAAAAATGACAGCAGGTGAGAGATATGCCGATCTGCGGTAGAAAAATGAAAGTGATGAAAATCAAGAAAAAGCCTTATGTGCCATGTTTTGTCCAACAAACACGTGTTGGGCAGATTTAAACACCACAACTTAAAGGATGGCAAACATTAACGCTGCACTACTGCACACACCAATTCCTTAAATATCTTTGCACCTAACATGAAACAAACATAAGAGAAAACACTAATTTCAATCTTCTCATTTTTGTAAACAAGCTTGGTATACTACAATGTAGCGCTGGCGTTTGACTTTTAGTGTCCAATTTAGGTCTTAACAACCTGTCACTGTTTGTCTCAGTAGCTTCACTGGCTGTCTTCATTATATGTTGCCGTTTACTTTAGCTGCTTATTTCCACCATTATTTTTGCATTAGCTCTTCATCTTAGCTGTCTGGCATTAGCTTTTTTAAAATTCTGGGAAAAAGTTGTTTTTAATGTACTTGAATTGAAATGTCAAGTACATTAGCTGTGATAATTTTCCCCCTGAAATATTAGCAATAGCTAACTGTCAACATTAGCTCTTTCCATTTGCTCTTAGCATTAGCTGTTTACACCCGATTTTTCACTTCCTGTACGTCCTCTCCTTTAGCCTCAAGTTAACCTCAGTAACTTAACTGGTAACAATAGTTTTAGAAACCCACATAAATTAACACAATGCTTTCTTCTAAGCGCTGACAGCCTTTTATTTGTCACTGTCTACAAATAATTAGCCAGGTATTGTATGCAGGTCGGCAAGTTTAAAACGTATATATTTTGCCAACAACTCATTAATTTGAATTTAGTTTTTCCTTAACTGCTTACTGAATTTATGTACTAGTGTTATGCAAGGAGTTAAGATGGCTAGAAGAACCTATGCAGAGTGAGAGTCTGTAATGTTGCAGCATCCATAAATCTGTGCTTTAGTAAATCATACCCAAATATTTCACTGTGTTTGTTGAATGGGGAAAGGAAGGGTGGTACCATCTGAAACCGTAGCACTCTTATAATTATTAATAAACCAAACCTATTAGATATCTCAGACCCACAGTAACGAACAAGTACAGTTAGGCCCAAAATAATTTATACCCTTGGCAAATTAAGATTCAAAGTAATTTTCTTAATTTTAGTACGTTTCTTCTGATTGGAAGTGGTGGAAACATTTTTGCGGTGGCCCAACCAAAGTCTGGACTTAAATCCAATAGAGAATATGTGTGAAGAACTAAAGATTAGACTGATGGAAAGAAGGTATTACAAACTCAGAGACTTATAGCTTGTAGCCAAAGATAAATCGTCAAAATACCAATCTCAACACGCAAACAGGCAGCCATTTTCAACATCTTCAGTCTTTTCACACTGTTGTATTATTTTTCCAGAGATTCTTGCCTCATTTTACTATCAGAAACAAAGTTCACGGAGAAATAAAAAAAAAAAAAAAACAGTTAAATCTAAATCTGCCAGGAGTATAAAAAAAAAATTGGGGCTTAACTGTACCAAAACAAAATTCACACCCTTGTACATTTTGTAGTATTGTGTATGATTCATACATTACTTGCAGTGCAACATATGTGGGTGAAGTAGTGAACAAAATACATCATAAATAGAAGTCGAATGGTGTACTGAGGCCCAGGATTTAACACCTTGCAAGGTGAGATATCTGGGTAAAAAGATTATTTTAAAGCAAGAATAAGTAACAAGAGAGATTTTTACCAAACCACCAAGGATAAAGAAGACCATAAACAAGCGACCAAGGGTGGTTTTTGCATAAACGTCTCCATAGCCAACAGTCGACATCGTAACCATGAGTAGGTAGACACATTCCCAGTAGGAAAGTGTTTGGGAATTTTGGAAGTTTTCCCAAGGATCCCCTGAGTTTTCCACCTGGAAGAGAGGTTGAGATTTACAGAACCACGAAAATGGAAAATAATCCAAAGTATGTTATGCTGATTGCACAAATATGTTTACCTCATGTAAATTGTGAAATCATCAGACTGTTGAACTTTATAAGAGGTTATTTTTTCATTATTTTGTTTACCCTTAATGTAAAATGGGGCGATAGAATTAATGTAAATACATACAACTAACTGAGGGCAAAAAAAAAAAAAAGTACAGCACAGTGCCGGACTGCTATATGCAATCTTTGTAACATGCTTTGCCTTCAGGTGTATCTCAGTAAATTAGGAAATCATCAAAGTTATTTAGTAATTCAATTCAAAAACATGAAACTGATGTCTATATAAGTAATATTTAAATTTTCCCAAAAAAACCTAACTTTGGTTTTTATTAGGCCATAAACATCCAAATTAACAAAAGTGCACATTTGAAAATTACTGCCATGTGAATGTATATGAATGAATCTATAAAATAAACACATTTTCTTTTTGAATTGATTTACTTTTTTCAAGAATATGTTATTATTTTCATGATATTCTAATTTACTGAGATGTACCTGTAAATAGATGCCAATAACTTACCAAATGAATGAAGCCTGCTGCAGTTAGCCATGTGCTTATGAAGATTGAACACAAGTTCACCAACTTAATGGAGTTGCTGTTTTTAATTGCACACACAAACACAAGCAAGAAAGACAATAATATATTAAAGCAACTGTCATTTTTGTTTTACTCACTGGATGTCACTTTTAACAGAAATCTAAAAGTAAGATCCTCAGATCCATCAGAAGTATTCATCAGCTGTTGAAGCAGTTATTTACAGTGTATTGCACAACATATATGAGGAACACCTCATGAATAAACACCTTACATAAATAATTATTTTGCCAATAAAAGCGATTCATGGAATTCTAAGCAGAAAATATCAATGCTGTGCATGAGTGATGAATAAAGTGGACACCTCTATGGATAATATATGTATATTGCAGATCTTATTGTAAAAACATGTCCTTGCACAAACCGTGTCCACATCTTTGTGTGTTACTTTCATCTGAGTCAATGACTAAGAAGATTATTCTGAAGGATTTTGTTATGCTATAATCTTCCTGACATGACATCTGTGCATAAAGCTCTAATTCTGAGCAGCAAAAGCAAAAACAGAAATCTGGTTTATTTCAAGCCACTTGGTTCAGGAATTATTCTTTAAGGTTCCCGTTAATCAATTAAAAGTACATTTTACATTCACTTTACAGCAGCTGAGTTTAACATTGCTGACTGAGGACATCAAGAAAAATAAGAGCGAACATCGAGACTCTTACCTTGTCTTTAGAATATTCAAAAACTGTAAAATTTCTGAGAACTGTATCAACCTTAAGGCTCTTAAAAACCTCAAACCTGTGAGAAAAGACAAAGAAAATGTTCAGGACTCGTAAAAATTAAATCAGAAGCAACAACAGCATTTAATCGTGGCTCGACTTTGACAACATCATACCTTTCATACTTTCATCCATATTTACCAGCTTTAGCGGATTCATAATGATGAAAAATAAAAGCCAAAGCAGCAAGCAACTCTAAGCACTTAGTCTATTAAAAGCCATTCAGAAAAATCTAGTTAAAGACAAAGCATAAAAAGAAGCTCATCATCAACCCAAAGCATTCTCCCGTTAATTCCAGGAGCCTCTTGCTGGGTCGGCATCTATCCTACACGAGCATCGCTCCTGCTAGGCAAAACTGTGAACGTGGAGGAGATGAAAACCTGGATTAGAGTAAAGACAGGTGGATTCTGTCAAGCCAAAGTGAATCGGTAAACAGTGGTGACGTCAAATCCTAAATTTGAGGGTATTTATAGAAGAAGGAGAGAAAAAAAAGAAAAAAAAAAAACAGGATTGGTGACTGTTGCCAAGAGTTCAAGGACGACATAACCAATGAAACCAGCTGTGCCAAAACCAGCCTGAGCTTGAATCCCGTGTGAAATGAGCAGATTTTTTTTATTTTTTATAAAGAAAGCATTTTAGTAACAGCGTTAGAAAGGTTCCTAAATTAATTATAAGGTGATTATTATTTAAAGCAAGAATTGGGAAATGATTAATCAATTATTTTTTTACTATTTCAATAGAAAACATCAAGGACAGATTTCTGCCTCAAGAATCAACTAATCACTTAAACTTGTTTGAACAGCATGAAGTAGGCAAGAATATCTCAAAGAGCAAAACATCATCCCCCAATCTAGAAAAATACAAGAATAGATCTCCATCACAAAATGACTAAAAAAAACAAAGAGTTTAAAGTGACCTAGTCAAAGTCCAAAGTAAAATCCAATTGAGATGCTTTGGGGGGACCTTAAGTAGTACATTGGTACATTTTTAAATGTACAATTTTAGAACAATTTTTTTTTGTGCTTCTTAATTAATCATCAGCCATGAAGCGAAATAAACAATGAAAACAGCCAAAACTGCCACATTTGAGGGAAATCAAGTGCATTTTTATCTCCATTGGCATTAACTGAACCGAATATTTCCCACCTCAAGTTATGCGAATGTTAACAAAACCAAAAAAAGGAGCAATAATAAACCATTTTCATAGCGTGAACTCTTGTTCTCCTTTACCGAAGCTCTACAGGAAGCGTTTGCCAGGCTGGCAGCATTTTATGTCACCAAATCCTGAACCTGCGCCAGCTGACACAACGGATGTGCCAATCCTCCACTTCCTCTCCGTGGTCTTACCCCAGTAAGAAATCAAGTGGAAGCATCCACCGAGACTGAAGCAGAAGCTGTCCTGGTCCTCCTTGTCGGGGACCAACCCGTGGCCCATCCTGACCCTGTAGCCCTTCTGGAAGAGCTCTCCAGTTGATTTCTTGCGTCTGGTTGTGTTTTCGACCGCCTTGGAGTACGTGTCCCCATCGGGGCCCCTGTACACTAGTATCTTTGTTGGAATCATGTCTAGAAACTACTGCAACAGGCTTCCAGCTTCAATGAAACAAAACAAGAAGAAAAAAAACCCTCCACTTTTTCCCTCTTCTGAATCAGGCTCATCGGGTAAAATCAAGTAGAAATATTACCCTCTCCGACAACCAAAATCAGCTGTTTCTTTTGAAGACGCATTGTGCTCTGATTTCTCTCAGACCTTTGCAGCATTCTCATGACGATTCAGTGCAAGCTTAAAGCAAGCCCTTTTCCCATCAGGATATTAGAGTGTAAGCTCCTTTAGGATTCATCCTGGGAAAGGAAGAGGCCAGACTGCATTCATGCCCATCAGTTGCTTTTACAATATAACCCGCATCTCATCTCAGTGGCTCCACAACTGCTGCTCATGAACAAAAGTTCATTCTCTAATCTTGGACGAGAACAGCTTGTATCTTTGTTGCACACGATCATTCAGCAAAGCCGTACATGGGAACACTGAGAAGTTGTGGTCAAACTAGTGTGTGTGTGTGTGTGTGTGTGTGCGTGTGTGTGTGTGTGTGTTTATGTCATAGATTCCCAAATAATCCCTCAATTAATCGCAGCCGATGTATTAACTGTAATTTGAGTTGACGCTGAAACTAAATGCGTAACATGTGAGATGTCAACACAAATGGAGAAAATACAGCAGCTGATAGATGTTGCTCCGTCTGTCATTCAGTGTCATGGCAGAAAAAAACTCTACATAGAAGATTAATCCTTACAGTGCATGTCAGAGTGGGGGGTTACACACACACACACACACACACAAAAAAAAAAAAAAAGATCATTTCACTAGATTTGGAGAGGTTTTTTTTTTTTTTGAGGAAAAAATAACAACTTCACATATTTGAGTAGAATACAAATAAATAATCTATTCCGGAATGTTCTTTCCTCCTTTTTCAAGCAGTTGCACAATCCATCAAAAATAAACAGTGAAACGTTTAAAGGACCGTTTCACAAATATTTGTCAAAATGGAGATAGCAGATTGGACATTTTGCTATCTGATTAATAAATGAAAAAAAAAAAAAATGTTGATCTCATATCTACATGGTTTAGTTTGAATTAATCCTTAACTAAACATATGATCATTTTTACATCATGCAAAAGTATTCGTACGTTTCAAACCTTTGCGGATTTTGTCGCATTTTAACCACAGACATAAGTGTGTTTAAAATACAAAAAAAATATGCACAAAGAATATAAACTAAAAACCTTTGATAAATAGAAATGTGGTGTGCATTTCTATTTAAGTCAAAAAATGTCAAGCTTGGTTTGATCAGAGGCGTCTCTGAAAAGGATTTCTCTCTCTCCTACCACTAAGTTTTAATTAGATTCAAATTCAGACTTTGCCTATTGCATTCTAACATGAATATGTTTTCATCGAATCCATCTCATTTCAAGTCTGGCTGTATGTTTACGGTCACCTCCGACCTCGAGCTCCAGTGTTTTGCAGGTTTTCTCCTTGATTTTTTTCCGTATTAAGCTGTATTTATCTCCCCATAATTTCTGACCAGGTTCCTTCATCCTGCTTAGAAACTGCATGATGCTACCTCTATAACGTTTGGCCAAGGTTGGGGTCATCGGGATGATGTATATTACTTTTGTACCATACATGTGGGCCAAAAATTCAATTTTGGTCTCATGTGACCGGAGTACCTTCTTCAGCCGAGATTAAATCATACACAGGTTTCAATAGCTGCAACGGTGAATCTAATCTCCCCAGTGAGAAATAAATTTCCTGCATGTCCGTCAAGAGGCAGGTGGTCGCTACTTATCATTTATTTGACTTATGAAGGCAAATGACTGAACTCAATTTTATTTTGGAAGCATCGGAGTAAAAGGGACTAAATACAAATGCCACCAGATGAGCAAAGAGTTTTTATTTTCTTTTGTGTTTTTTTATTTGCTTTGTCAGTTACATTATAACTTATTACTTTGTATTGGTGCTCAACTAAAAAATTCAAGGTGCAAGAACATTTTTGCAAGGCACAACATTAATCTTATAAAGCATTAACCAGCATCTTTGGTCTAATTACCTTAAGATTCAGTTTTAAGACAAAGGAATCATTTATGTTGGTGAAAGCTTAATAATAAAAGCAGCTTGTGTTTTTAGTTTTTGTCTCTGAAGGGAACAAAATCTGTTGGAATATTAAAATCATATCCCGAGAAGTTAATACTTCACCGTATTATTTTCATTGTCAGAGATTATAGCAGTACTCGTACGTTCTGCCCTCCAGATCAGAATCCAAACACTGGACGGAAAATGCCGACTGCATCGATGCCTGATACTGCTTTCACAAAATAACAGATGCTGTTTAAAATGCCACATTTCTCCATGTATGTATGTATGTCACACACAGCTGAGCATGTTAATGAAAGAGTATTTGCAAATACTGAGAGAGAATTTGTGTCAAACTGTTGTGACAGCAGGATGGGCAGATTGGAGGACTGGGTGAGCAGCATGTGCGGAACATACAGACTTTGGATGAGGAGAGAGAAAATCCTGAGCTGCTAATGACCTCGTCACCTGCTTGACCCCGTTTTCACATAAATTCAAGCAGCAATCGAGCATTTTTTTTTTTTTCCCTCCCCGGTTCGGGACAAACGGCGAATATGTCGACACAGTTTAAATACTGCGCATTGAGTCATGCAAGATTGAAAAGGACAACAAAAAAAGAACACCACCTACACAAATGGTAGCAACAATGACACAACAGAGACGCAACAACAATGCAGCTGTGCTGCCCAAGCAGTTTGAAGTAGGAACTTGAGAAAAAGAAGCCAAGATCATTAGGACTCAAATTCTCAGAGGAATGTTTATTATTATTATTATTATTATTATTATTATTATTATTATTATTATTGTGGTTGTTGTTGCCTCAGACTGTCTTATGTTGGTTTAACACATAAGAACTAGTTTGAAACTTAATGTGAAGATGTACTAGATGTACAAATACTATTTGCAAGGTGCTGTGCTCCTGTTCCGGAACAGTGGGAAGAGCATAGACGTGCATCAACAATATATTTTAGAAGTATAATTTCACACAAGCTTCCTTCAAGAAAAGCTAAATCCAACTTGCCCTGGTTGCTCCAATACACAGAATTTACAGCATGTTGCACAAAGCAATGACTTCCTCTGAAGGTAATCTGTGACATCCTAAACGGCCAGCAAAATCCAGAATGTCCACTAGATGGCAGCATTAGTCAAGAACAGGTCCTGCTTTCACACCTCGAGTTACAATACATTGGCTCATTGGGACATAACAGAAGAAAATTGCACACTTTCACGTTTCAGCCCATCTGTGTCTACATATCTAAAGCCAGGGATACTTGCTACTAAAAAAAAAAATAATAATAATAAAAATTCTGTTAACGATGCAAAAAATAAATAAATAAGTTACCTTTTGTAATCCTGTAATTTCTCAAAGACCTCTCTGACTGATGAGCTTCACACATTTAGTAGATTGACTTCTATTCTAAGCGTCATGCCACCAAACAAAGCCTCGTCATTCCATTCATTTTGTTCTTTTCAAACGACAAATTAATTAGAGTGTTTTTGCAGGTATTGCTTGAAATCCCTGGTGGACTTGAAGGGGACCCAAATGCAGCCTGATGGTGCTTGATAGCCAGTGGTAAAGACAAGGAATCAGCCAAAATAAGCATTATTCAATGAACATACATTAGCGCACACTCTTGTAAGAAATACAAAATCTGATTCATACAGAAAGCAAAAAACTTTCCGTCATCAAAGAGTTTAAGCTTTTCTGCTTTCCTTACCCAGCCAGCTCCTGTTCAGGTACACCGACACAAACACCGGAGGAACTGTGAAGAAGTCCACCACCGAGTTCACCTCCAGCCAGAACCAGAGCTTGTCATTGGCAGCAATAAACTGTGAAAATAAAGAGAAAGTATGAGAGCATAAATTTTGAGATGAAATTTCATAATTCGGTTGAAAAATAAGAACGTTGCACACAATTTATACATTTATACATTTTAAGCATATATTTCTGTCGATTTTCTGAGAAGTTTGAAAATGACAAAATATTTTTCACTCGTTAACTGTACAAGAACACGCAACCAGATATTTTAAGCTTCTCAGTCAGACTTTTACTTACACGCAGGCCGAAGTATAGCAAGAAGAACACGTTGAATGCCATGTCGATCTGCAAGGTGAAGTCTTTGTAGAAGTTCTGGCAGGACTCAATGGGACTGTGAGACAAAGGGGGGGGAAAAAGTAATTTTATTTCCTTGATAAAATTCTGACAGATCAAAAATTGCAACATGTTTGTAAAATAAAGCATAAAACAGATGCATTCTTCTTTTCCTGAAAATGTTTTTTTTTTAGGACTTCCAACAGAAGAGAAACACAAGTGTTAAAAAAAAAAGATGCATTAATTTGGTATTTCCTTGTTTTAATCTGTTGAGAAATTGCATGCATTCATTGTAACACAAGCAAGAACTGGTCGATATACCTCGTTAACCCTTAAATAACTGCAAAAAAAAAAATCTCCAAGGAATTCCTTGTATTCCTGATACTGATCGTTCTCAAATGGAAAAAATGGTGCTGCTTTCCTCTCAGTCTTGCATTACACATCCTATGCACACAGCAGGATGGAAATGCAGGGCCAAAAGCAGTAGTTTAAGGGTTAATAATGCATGCAGGAGTCATGTTTTCATCTATGAGATCAGGCAGCCATAGCAAGTGCTAGCAATGTAGTGAAGTCTCACCCTCAAAAAGCTTGTATCTGGCACGAAGAATTCAAATAAAGAGACATAATTAACCAAGCAGAATGAGTAAGTAATTGGTTAGTGTGATTGTGTTTTAATATTCACAACCTGAAAGTTAGAAATATATTTTTTTAAACGCATCACTC